TTAGGACAGGAGATAATAATATTGTTTTTGTGATACGTGTTCAGTGAGAACTAGGATTCGCTTTGAGGGATCCTGTTTAATTTGTGCACCAGATTCGGATCCTCAAGGTGAACACTGATCCGTACATAGTTAATAGTATGATTTTTATTTTTATATTTTTAATCATTTAACATTTTAATATGCACAAAATATAATCTAGCTAAAATGAAAAATTGTATTCTAACCATCACTTTTTCCCTAAAAAACAACTTTTTTAGTTAAAAAGCATAAGTTGAAAAGTTTAAATTCCATTAACATTATACTACCTCCGGTCCTTAATATAAGACCCTATTTGACTTTTATTTTGGTTCTAAATATAAGACCCCAATCCACTTTGTCTCTCATATTTATACATTTTTTTTTCAAAATAATCCTTCTAACAATGATAGTTCTAATCAATACACTTGATTAGCAAGGATATTTTAGGAAAGACAACACCTATTTAGGACACATAACTAACTCAACTTACTTCCTTAATCTCTTCAAATTAGTCAACTGGTTCTTATAATTAGGACCGGAGGTAGTATTTGATTTGTGCAAATTTCATTATAGTAAGAATGAACATCATGAAAGTTATCACACGATAGGTATCGGAGCTGATTTTCTGATGGTATAAGAGTTGGCCTTTTAACCATCGGCATTATCACCACTAGCTAGCACCCTTGCCCCGCCATTCTTAGAGCAAAAGGAGAGCTAGAAGAGCTGAAACAGGTTTCAATAGCAAAAGATTATGCATGCAAACAAATCAAAGTGATAAAGCGGACCAACCCACGCTCGTAGGTTGGAACAAGTCGCTAATCCCCCTTACCCAAATAAGTTTTTCTATGTTCATATTTAGTGTCTGAGAATACTTTGAATATGATTATTTTATAATCAGATAAGACACTTATACTTGCATCTGGCTGGGGAAAAAAAAAAAACAACAAACATGAGTTCTTTGGACTGCGTTAAAATTTTAGGAGAATTACAATAAGGTCTTAAAAAAATAATTATTAAAAAACCTTAATAACAATCTAAACAATTTGTAATATTAAGTTTTAAAGTAGAAAATGACAATTTTTAAAATTTGTTTTATAATTATTTTTCTTTCTTAAAATCTCATTATAATTCTCTCTAAAGTCTTTAATGATGGACCTCAACTGAAAATTCAATAAAATTATTCTTTGAGCACTCTATTTTGCCTATATGAGGAAAAGAAGGTAGAAGATGTCAATACCAAGAACATAGAGGAAGGGGGGAGGAATCCAAAGTTCAGAACAAGATTGGACCAAAAATTGACGATGAGAAATTGTAGTTGGTGGATAGAGATGGGGTGTTAAAAAAACTACCTCTAATCTTTAATATAAGAACTAATTTGACTTTTATTTTTGTCCTAAATATAAGATCTCAATTCATTTTATCTCTCATATTTATTTGTTTTTTTAAGATAATTCTTGTAGTAATGGTAATTCTAACTAATGCACTTGATTTTTAAAAATAATAATACATATTTATTACAAATAACTAACTTAATTAATTTTTTTAATTAAATTAGTTAACCGGTTATTATATTAAAGATGAGTAGTGCTTGAATTTGATCTCACAAGACATCTATTAGAAGTTAGGGTCCTATTTATATTTTACGGATATTACTCTTAATGCTAATCCCTAAATTACCCTTTTCCTACAATTCACATACTTTAACGCCTAAATCCCCTATATAACAATATGCTTCGCTTCTCTGGTTAAAAAAAAAAAAAAAGCTTCGCAGCCGAAATTTTAAAAATTATAAACTACTTCCGGTCCTTAATATAAGAACTAGTTGACTAATTTGAGTGGATTAAAAAAGTTTATTAAGTTAGTTATTTGTAATAAGTAGGTGTTATTTTCAGTAAAATACTCTTACTAATCAAGTTTATTAATTTTGACATTTGGTTACATCTTTAATATGTCTAACTACTACGCAGGCTGCCTTAAAAAATAAATAAATATGACATACAAAATGAATTAGAGTCTTATATTTATTCATGACCAAATTGAATATCAAACTGAGTTTTATATTAAAGACACAAGATAGTATGTTATACATAAATATTTTTAAATTTTCATATATAGGTTCATTTCATTATTTGGTGTTTCTCCGTAACATTTATGAAGTGTGACATTTCGATTATCATACTGTATATAAACCAATAATTATCAATGACAAAACCCATATGAAAACTTAATAATTAATATAAAATTTATAAAAATTATATTACCTTCTATTCTTCATATAGGAGTTAGTTTGACATTTAATTTAGTTATAAATACAAGACCCCAATTCATTTTGTCTATAATATTCATTCACTTTATTCTAAAGTAGTCTTTGGAGTAGTTACACATATTAAAGGTTTTATGAAATAATGGTTCTAACTAATTCACATGATTAGCAAGGGTATTTTAGAAAAGACAAAACCTATTGTTTTATAAATAACTAATTTAATTAATTTTCTTAATTTACTCAAATTAATTAACTAACTTTTATATTAACTACCTAATCTAGTATAGTATTATTCATAAAATTACAAACAGTGAGATGCATCTCAAACTCTTTCCGAAATACTATCTCCAGTTCTTAATATAAGAGCTAGTTGACTAATTTGAGTAGATTGAAAAAACTAGTTAAGTTAGTTATTTGTAATAAATAAGTGTTGTCTTTTCTAAAATATCCTTACTAATCAAGTGTATTAACTAGAACTACTATTATTATAAGAACTGTTTTGAAAAAAATAGATAAATATGAGAAACTAAGTGAATTAGCATATTATATTTAAGACTAAAATAAAAATCAAATAAATTTTTATATTAAAGATCAGAGGTGGTACAAGTTAGTTACAGTCTAGTTGGTGTAAGTTTCGGTCTATATATAGAGAAATCACATGAGAAAATTTGCAAGCTTCGAATTCATGTTCCAGGCTACGAAAAACAAAAAGACAAAAAAAGATGAGCATGTTGATAAATTAATTGGCAAATGATTCTTAAGAATTATTTGTAACTTACTCCTCTAGTCGTAAAATATAAGACTCTTATATACACTAATATAAAAGTATTATATTTAGCACCGGAGGAGTAATTTTTTGTGTGCAAGTAATTTATCCTTTTCATTTGCAAAGTAGTTCCCTGTGTCATGTAACTCAACTTTTATTGTATGTAATTTATATTTTACTTGTGCAATTTATTATTCTAAAAATTTTTTGTCAATTAATTTTGAATTAATATGCAAATTTATTCTAAAATTTTTTATTCAGGAACGCTGAGTATTTAAAATTTTTGTTAAGTATAAAATTATCTCGAAAGTTTAAAATCGTAACAATGTTACTACATAAAATTAGAAAATTAATGTTAACTGTAAAAATAGTAATACTGATTATTAATAATTTTAATAGGACAACAGTGTTACTATATTAAATTTTTGGAATAAATTTACACTGAAAAAAACTGCTGAATGCCAAAAACTGCAGGTCTAAATTTGCAGCTCAACCTAGGGGTGCACATGGGCAGGGCTGGGCAGGGCAGAACCCCTGCCCGATGCCCAGCCCGAAACATGAACGGGCTGCATTTTGCAGCCCGCTGCCCGGCCCAGCCCATAGAAGCCCTAACCATTTTGGGCTGGGCATGGGCGGGCTGGGCAGGGCGGGCTTTGCTGCCCAAATGGTGATGATCTACCGATATCACATGTAAAAAAACTTTCATCCATACCTGAAAATTACATTTCATAATTTTATATTTTCACACATTAAAATTATCCAAAAATAATTCAAAACAAGTCTTAGAAAATATCCAAATAAATAATATTCATAATCTATTTAGAACAAAACAACTCTCAAGATTGTAATTAAAGTCTTGAAATTCAAACGGTTTGCATTAATCTCCAGAAAGTTGAGAAAAGAATAAAACATCTGAAAAAATTGAAGAGGGGTTGAAGCACATTGAGATATTCCATTGGGAGCCAGGGATGGCGATGTAATAGAAACTTGATTATCCATTTAAGTGGCAAAAATTAAATGTTACCTAAAGGATTACAAAAAGATATTAAAACTGAAGCAATAGGCTAACAGGAATAACATAGACCATATAAAAATGGGGTGAAAATAATTGTAAAAAGAAAAATAAAAAATCTTATAATCTCATAATAATTTAATATAACGACTTTTAATATGTAAATACTTATTATGCGATACAATGCAGTTAGCAGTTCATACAACTAAAAGACTTCTTTCTATCATATGACTTGTTCATAAAAAATTAATACAAAATAACTAAATATAAATTAAATAGAAAACATGTAATTCAGATAATTAAACCCCAATTTTCTTTCCATGCTCCTACCCCAATCTTGTTTTCTATCTTGCATAAATATTCAAAATTGTTTATTTATACAAATATGTAATGTATGAACTCCATTCTCTAACAAAGAAAGTTGTTAATGACATAGAGGGGAAGATTGACTTATAAATAGCCAACACTTCAACAACAACAAACAATAGGATATGCACAATAAAGCTCACGAAGAACAAGTTAAAAACAAGATACTACTGCTTCTTTAGAAGAATTAGATCCCCTAAAATAGAAAACTAATAGACATATAATAATAATAAGTTAAATTGCAAAGAGGAGGGAGATAACTTTTTTTTAGGTAAAGAAATGTAATATATTAATATTATTTTATAAATTATAATATATATAATCTGGGCAGGGCCAAATGGGCAGGGCAGCATGTCCTGCCCGATGCCCAGCCCTGCCCATGAAATGCCCAGCCCAAAGATGCCCATTCTTTTTCGGGCTCTTTTTTTTCGGGCTGGGCTGGGCAATTTTTCTTCGGACTCGGGCGGGCTCTGCGGGCATTTGGGCTTCATGCACACCCCTAGCTCAACCTATTAATTTTCAAACCAAGGTTGTATTTACAAAGAAAAGAAATTATGGTCTAACTCGTAAGCTATTCTTGCTAGCAGCATGGGGAATGATTATATGCTTCTGGAATGCCATGGGCGGGCAACAAGCAAGAGAAAGGCTTCTTTGTCTGTAAATTATTAGTTGTGATTCAGAGAACGAAGTAATACGAGCTGAACACGAAGAAGTGGGTATTAGAAGGAGTTTCTCCCCCCTGACGAGTGGCTCACAGAGAAGCCTCTCTTTGTTTGGAACAAATGCGATAGACGAAAAGGAGAAGGAAGAAGTATCATGTCGTATTCGGGATTTGGGAAGGAATCAGGGCCCTCTGTGCCACCCAAATCACAACCAGCCTTTGGTCATACTAACACTTTCCTCCGTCCGCCGTCTTCTTCTCTCGCAACTCCAGCTTCTCCATATGCCACTTCGCCGTCACCTCCTAGACACAGGTATTTCGTTAATTCCATTACTTTTTCCTTGTCTTCCTGAAATATTCAAGACCGTTTCATCTTGGGATTCGACTAATTCTCCGTCAGTTTGTGGGAAAACCCAGTTGAAATCGAGAATCTTTTTTTTCTTCTTCCCGAATTATTGAAAAACATTAGGCGGTGAAATAGAGTTTGCACGTTGAATAGGGACACAGTAGGAAATTTGAGGATTTTGTTTCGTGACTTCTCGTTTTAGTACTGACATGATGTCGATTCTGAGAAGCTCCCTAATTTCATTTTACTTCAAGAGATTGTGATTCCGGCAACGGGTTTATGTAGGGATCACTCTTTGTTGTATGTTGCAAGCATTGTCGTGAAAGCTCAAGTTGAAGTCCATATATTAACAAGTATTATAGTATATGATCAGGTCTTTTTCCTTAGCAGTTGCTTTATTTTCCGAAAGAACGATTCTTTGTTCCTTCTTTGACCAAATCCTCTTAGAGTGGATATAATTTGTTACTAAATGTTGCGTTGCTGATAGTACTTATTGTCTTTAATATCCACTGAGTCTTCTGGTTTCAGTGCTGGGAAGAAACTATTTTATAGAGATTTGGATGCCCCTGCTCCTGAAAATCTGGCAGCAATTACAACACTTGCTGCCTCGCGGGATTCCACCACTGGCATTACAGCCAGAGTTTCTAGATCTCAAAACCCAGAAAAAACCAGATCTCCTCCCTTACCATATGCAGGCAATGATGCATCCAAGTACCCCGGTCAAGCTGTTCTGAGAAAGTGAGATCATTTTATCTTCATTATTTTTCTCTATATTATGTATCTGGGGTTTTTTCCTTCAATTTTTTGCTTAATTTAAATCTGAACTCAGTTGTCGATTGTGTAGACTGATAGGCTGTTCCTTAAGTATGAAAAGGGAAAGGAAATGAGGATGTGATTGGAAAATGATCCCTGCGCCTAATTACAATGATAAACAATGTCAAAAATGATAGGTGCTCTGTGTGTGCCCGCGCGCATCACATATCTTGTTTTATATGCAATAGAAAGGGTTTCCATTCCCCTCTGTGTGCTAAACTGGCCTTGAAAATATACCAATCCAGGTTTTGAAATGCCAACGCTAATGCACTATTGCCTGTATTTTCAATAAACATATTAATAACCATGCTAATCACTTCACAATTTCTTGAATTCAAGTTTATATTATATTGATTTGACTGACGTAAGTGGTTCAAGGTAAGCAGGCTTGATTGCCTATTCCCTTTTGGTAATCCTGACATCTGGAGAATCTTGTAGTAAGTAATTTTTACATATGTAATGTGCTATTAGTATGTGTATAAATCTGTCATACATGCGAAAAGAAAAAAGATGAAGAGGTATTGTCACTAATGTTTATTATCTGTTGAGGTCTGTTCTCTGTATGCCTACTTTCTGTACAATTTGGCATGTGGGGTATTATTGGGATGGGAGATAGTTTGTCGTATTGTCTTCAAGCCATTTTGTACTTACAGTCTGCTGCTCATATACTTTAAGCTCTTGGCTCTTGTGTTCCCCAAAAATGACTTTGGTTGATGACTTTATCTCATTTGCCTTTCTAATTTATTTGAGGCTTTAACTTCTGCTTTACTTGCTGATTGCAGCAGCACCTCAAATTTGCTTACTGATGGCCATAGTCAGTCACTGCATCTGAAATCACAATCAACTCCTTTGGTACCTGTAGGCTATCAACCTGTTCGGAGTTTTCGGCCTTCTGTTGCTCTTCAACAGTAAGTTTTAGGTTTTTCTATTTCATCTCCTTGCATTCACTGTATTTTTGTCATTTATGTGTGTACACTTGTATATGATTTACAAAGTTAATATTGAAATCTTGTATTGTTGAAATTGAAGTCTTGTCTTGTATTTAGGCACTATCGTTGTGCAGTAAATTGTCAAAAGATGCTTCTGTAATATTTTGCTTGTGCTTCATGAGCACTTATTCTGTATGCTGAAATGCTCTCGCTTTCCATAGCTTGTTAAACCCTTGTTTTGCCATTATTACTCCTGTTGAAATATGGCAATTCTCAATGCCCTGGTCAATATTGTATTTGCATGATCTAGGAAAAACATTGAGTTCAGTTGATGATTGTTGAAATCTTCCTTTGAGTGAAAGAAAGGGAGATAAGACAGGGATGAATGGGATTAATTATCAACTTTGGTGAGTTCCCTGTGCGTCTATTCATTTTAATAAATCTAAGTTACTATGGGGACTAGATGGTATGAGATGCCACCATATGGGGTTGACTGGTGTGGTATGTAAGGATAATCTTTCTTTTAAGGGTGGGTTCTCCACGGACAGTGGGGTCCCTATAATAAATGAAGAATAATACAATACAATAAACACAAGGCCAGTTCACTAATGTGTCAGCCAATATCTATCCCACCCATCACACTATTATAACACTGCCCCTCAAGTTGAAGATTATAGAAGCTTCAGTTTGTTGCGAATAAAAAAAGTAGACACTAAAGAAAACCCACAATTAGGCACCTAGACACTTGCATCATGATTCAAGAACTTCAGCAGTTACCAATTCCTCTAACATTGTTCGCCTCTCTGAAACAACTTTGAAAATTCGTGAACATGCTTACTGTAGGTGGCTCTGACATGCTTCTATCTGTTCTACTTGGCCATGTTGTCCAACTCACTTGCAGATCTGTTATAAGCTTTCAATTTACTTCCCTTGGGTAGTCCCCCCAGCCTATGATACTGGGTTACAGAGTGAGACAAAATGTTGAAGAATTATGTGTTTATTTTTGTTCAAGGATATTGTAGTTTATTACTGTCTAGGAGTTGTTTGATTATCTCTTAAGATTATTAGATAAGCCAGAGGGAAACAGGAATTTTGCATTATTGCCTCATATGGAGGATGTAAGGATAGACTCTAAATAGCTGGATTTTTTTTAGAAGGCAAGTGAAAGATTAGAATCAGTTTCTTTGGCTACCTATATTGCCTACTAGTCTCAGATCATTTATCAATGACTCCTTTTCATGGTTCAAGCTGATGTCAGGGTTTTATGTTCTTTGTGAATCATCTTACTGAACTATTAAGAAAAGTGGGGAAACCCTTGTTTCAGGCTCCTTTCATTTTACAAGACTAAATTATGCAAGCGCTGAGGAGGAATGTTGTACTAAATTGGTCTAAAGATAGTCCTATTTATTGTTGACTTAAATATTGTCCCAAGCTGTTTATAAACTTATATAGGCTGCCTGCCATTTGCTGGCTTTCTTGCATGGACAATGCTTTCTTACTACCTCGGATGTCTTAAATGCCTTCCATGTTCTTTTCCTGAAGTTATTCTTGTTATGTATGTAGGCCAGCTGTAGCTTCCAGTACATTGGGTAACCTGGCCAGTCTATCAGGCAGTTATACCAGCTCACCGGAACATCAGGTCCAATCCTTGGTCTCAACCCAGGTTGTTTCTCATAATCCTCGGGGTTTTGTGAGTGAAGTTAATGGCTATCAAGTCAGAACTAGGTCCCCTCCTTTGCCATTAGTCAAATCTAATGAAGTTTTGCAGCATAATTATACTGTTGCTCAGAAAGATTTGATGAGGTAAATCACATTATTTTTTGTGATCCTACATGGTTCTTATTTATAACTTGCATAAGTTGTCAGAGTTCTAAATGTATCTGAGTTATGTAGAGTTATGACCCCAGTGCATTTGATCTTTAATCTAGATTCCCTATAGCAGTATGAAATCCTAAAGAATATTCACATGCTTGTAAATTCCTAGGAAGCATTTAATTATATGCGGATCCGAAGGTGTGAATAATAAATTTCAATTTATTTAAGGCGCTTTCATAAGCGTTTGGTTACATGTTGGAGTGCTATCAGTATCTATAGGTTGGATTGAAATGGACTTGTTGTCTGACAAGGTCATTTGTGCTGAAAGAGGAGGTATAAAGAATTTTTTGAGTTAAAACCTCCTTACCAGATGTGTTTTTTAGATGTGACCAATGTACATCAATGAAGACTCTATTGGCTTCATTAAAAGTCACAGATGCTATTATTAAAAAAATTGTTGCAGATATATCGTAAAGGCCCTGAACTATCAAGATAGTTTGTGAGAGAGAATTTATACACAGGAACATTGTGGCTACCTTATGAGAACTATCAAGCTCATGAGAGTTGGTGTTTAAAGGAAAATGATAAGATTGACTTTCTTGAGTTGCAATGCTTTTTAGCATACATTATTATTTATATCTCACTTGAAAAGAATAAAACAGCATGTACATATAGATAACCTGTTCTCTGGTTTCCATTTCAGGCCTTCATCTCCTCCTAATTTGGGAAATACGTCTAGCATTATAAGGAGTGGCCCTCACGCACAAGTCTATAAAAATCTTCACCACCTGCTACAGTTTCCGAAGCTGCATTAAACAGCTCCATCAGTTCCTCTACTCCTAAAAGAACAAGATCACCTCCTCGAATATCTTCAAGTGATAAAACTCTTGAAGGAAAAATCAACTCCTCAAATGACAATTCTGAACGGTAAGTTATTAGGTACATTGGTGCCATCGTTTTTCACTATGGAGGTTCTTTGTCATCACATTATGTCTTTGATGGTCTTCATTCTTATTGTTTCTTTTAGCGAAATGTTAGCCAAGGCAAAGCGTTTAGCTCGGTTCAAGGTGGATCTAGGCAAATCTGAGCAGAGTGATTCTGATACTGCAGACAGGAAGGCTTCTGCAAGTAGAAATGAACAATCTCTGTCAGAGGAAAAATATGATGGTGGCCATTCTATACAACCAACTGTCAATGTTGCTAATGGCCATGCTTTGTCTGATTCTGAAGGCCTCAAGACGTCCAACATAATTATTGGCTTATGTCCAGATATGTGTCCTGGTATATTTCTCAGGTTTTAAATCTAAAAGAAAATTTGTTAGAACTTCTATATTTTGGTTCTATCTGATATTCTTTTTTTTTTTTTTAATAGAAACTGTATATCCATTAATCACAAAAGTTTCTATCTCATATACCCAGTCTGCAAATGAAACAAATTTCATGCTGTTAAAGTCTTTTTCTAATTTGTTGTTAGAAAGATCATATTGGAGAGAGTAGTTCATTTTGTCGAAAGCCAACAAGTGTACTATTTTCTGGGGAAAAGAAGGGAATGTTTTTTTTTTTTATTTGTTCATTTTTCAGAGTCAGAGAGGGCAGAGCGTGAAAGGAAAGGGGATCTTGATCAGTATGAACGAGTGGATGGGGATAGAAATGTAACCAGCAGAGTTCTTGCAGTTAAGAAGGTAATTATCATGTAACTGTCATTTTCTATGAAGCACTCATTGCTCTTTTTGGGAGGTTATTATAAAATATTCTTTAATAATATTCATTAATGGGGTGAAACATGGCAGTATAATAGGACAGCAGAGAGGGAAGCAAGCTTGATTCGGCCTATGCCTGTTCTTCAGAAAACAATTGATTACCTGCTTGATTTGCTAGATCAGCCGTATGATGAAAGGTTTCTTGGCATGTATAACTTCTTGTGGGACCGGATGAGGGCAATTAGGATGGACCTGAGGATGCAGCACATTTTCAACCAAGGGGCTATAGCTATGTTGGAACAAATGGTGCTTTCTTCTTTGAATAATGTTAATGCCTTTTTGTTGCATACATGTCCATTAGTCTTTGGTTCTAGTGGCAATTAATATGTTAGACTGCAGTTTAAAGATCATGGGTTCAATATCCATTAGGTGTACTGCGTAGTAACAGAATAAGTCATTCACATCTTGTAAAATGACCAATCAAATTATAGCAGCACATAATGCTCATGGATTTTGTGGGAGAGGCTAGTTGTGGACTATGAAATTACTCTTCTATTATCAGTCTAAGCTACTTATTCTAAATCATGCTTATATTTGTTTGATTTGGCTTCAAAATTGATTCCTCATCCTGGGTGAGGTTTATTTTCCTCTTGGTTCTATACAGCTTTTGTGTTTCTGGGGTCTCAGAGATTGTTCCTGAGTCTCTGTTTGTTGCACCAATTCTGGACCTTGTATTATTTTCTTCTAACGTGCAAATATTGTGTTGGCCAAAAAATCTTGTGCAAATCCTGGTCTTTTTTCTGAATTGTGATGAAGTTTCTTCTTTTGACGTAGTTCTGCTTGGGGCGCTTATGGGTTTTTATAATTTAAGATAACGTCTGCTGCAAAAAGCATTCATTTATTGGAAATTCTGCTAGCTTAGTCAAGAAATGCATCTGTTAGGTGGTATATAAATGAAGCATATTTGATTTTAAATATTAATGAAGCTGCTGGTTGCTCTGATTTCAGATAAGATTACACATAGTTGCAATGCATGAATTATGTGAATACACAAAAGGGGAGGGCTTTTCAGAAGGATTTGATGCTCACCTGAACATTGAACAGATGAACAAAACTTCAGTAGACTTGTTTCAGATGTATGATGATCACAGAAAGAAGGGAATAAATGTGCCAACAGAGAAGGAGTTTCGAGGCTACTATGCTCTCCTTAAATTGGACAAGCATCCTGGTTATAAAGTAAGTGATCTGTATAGTAAATCATCTTTAAGGTTTCTATATGATAATAGATAGATTGGTGAAAACTAGTTCTGCTAGGTTGAACCGGCAGAGCTCTCTCTTGATCTTGCTAAGATGACTCCTGAGACCAGGCAGACTCCAGAAGTTCTGTTTGCCCGCAAAGTAGCAAGGTTGTAATTTCCACCGAAGTTAATTTACTTTGGCTATTATGTTTCCAGTCTGATCATTATTTTTCCTTTGCCTGTGCAGGGCTTGCCGAACTGGTAATTTTATTGCCTTCTTTCGGCTTGCTAGAAAGGCAAGTTATCTTCAAGCGTGTCTAATGCATGCTCACTTTGCAAAGGTATGTATCATTGTTACTTTTTGTGTTTAGTGAATTGCATAATGTGTTATGGGGCTCAAAACAAACCATGAACCTAGGGTAATATTTGTAGACTCTGCATGCACTTCCCTAACTTAAGTGGATGAATACATACAGGTGCTCTTGGAAAGTGCTACTTAATTGAAGGCAAGCTAGTGCATTTTCTTTTTCTAGGATGAGACGTATATGGTTTATTTGCTCTATGAAATTAATCATTTGATGCATGAAAAACAAACTATACTTAATTACCAAAAGAAATACTAAGCATGAACCCCCCCCCAACAAAAAAAGCAACAAAAAAACCCAGTTAAGTTCATTGATTTCACTTTTTGCATTGTCTAAATAACTGTTATTTAATTTTCTCTTATGGTGAATCAAACTCATTTTTTTTATATGCTTTGTCATCTTCACCAGTTGCGTACCCAGGCACTTGGTTCTTTACATGCTGGTTTGCAAAATAACCAAGGTCTCCCTGTTTCGCATGTTGCTAACTGGCTTGCTATGGAGGTAATTTTCTTGCTTTGACTTGGAGAAATGCTTTTTCTCTTCATTCTTTCCTTTTTTGTCTTGAGGAGGGCATTGGGTGGAAGGATTTCCCGACGTCGTCTTACATGTGGATTTGTCACCAAACATAGGATGAGGACATAGACGGCCTGCTAGAGTATCATGGGTTCTTGGTGAAAACATTTGAAGAACCATATATGGTGAGGGAAGGGCCATTTCTCAATATTGATAATGATTATCCCACCAAGTGTTCCAAACTAGTTCACAAGAAAAGGTCAGAAACGATAATAGAAGATGTTTCACCCTCAGATCAAGTTGTATTGCCACCTGTTGAGACAACAAACAAGATCCAGATACAGAAGAAGTATGAGAATGAGCAACAATCTGTCAAAGAAGTTAGTTCAATTGAGAAGGTTGATGAAGAAATGGCCGACTCTGAAGCTATTTTGTCCCCAAAGGATGGTAGATCTGGAAGGAAATTTCAGGAAATGCCGATTGCAGTTGAACATAGTGAAACTGATCATAGTTTTACTATGCCTTTTTCGTCACCAATTGGCTTCTTTAATCGTGGTATACCTGAACCACAGCCAACCAGATCTGTACTTACTAAGCGTACTAACTCTGATGCTATATTCACAAGCTCTCCTAAGAGAATCTTTCATTCAGAGCTGGATGGAAGGCTCCTTGAGAGTGTGACAAAACTGTCTCCATCAGAAAGCTCAAGAGGATATGGCTTTCATTTTTCTGTGGCTGATACTGTGCCCCAAGGTGCATCTCAAGATGAACCTCTACTCGTTAACCAAGTAAACGAAGATGAAATTGACGAAGCTGAAGAAAATGATCTAGATGAAGAAATTTCTGCAGCTAAGCTCAAGCTATTCTTAAGGTTTTCTAGCCTTGTTTTGTTGCCTATTTTTTTGTTACCTAACTTGCATTTGTTATGTTTGTTACTTGTTTGAAGTCAATCTATTTTATATGTCTACCCTGTCAGGTTATGGAAGAGACGGACGTCAAAGTTGAGGATGCTACGTGAACAAAGGGAATTTGCAGCAAATGCTGCATTGGAGTCGTTGTCACTGGGACCACCTATACGACATTACATTGGTGTAAGATTGCTAAGCGTGAATTTAAACCAATTCTGCTGTGCATTTTCTTTTTACATTAGCTGCAGGGTTAGTGAGAGTTTTCTTGTAGGGCTGATTATGATTTAGTGACCCCTTTATTGGCACTTTTCCCCTCTTTATTTTTGCTCCAATTTATGTTTGTGTATATATATAACTTTTACATAACTATCAAGACCTTTACCGATCCTTAACTTAGTATAATGTACTGACTTCCTTATCTTTTTACTCTCTATGTAGCAACCAAGCAACTTTGACAAGTTTGACGTTGATGAAGCCGTGAGAGAGAGATACGAAAAGCAGGAAAAGTCCTGGGCAAGACTTAATATTTCAGAAATGGCCGGTGACATACTACGAAGAAGAAACTCAGGTGTCAAATGTTTGTGCTGGAAAATTATCCTCTGTTCTCAGGCGGACAAAGGACTTAAAATGGGTGCAGCAGGCTCGTGGTTGATCTCAAAGCTCATGCCTTCCTGTGACGAGGATGTGGTTATTTCTTCGCCTGGCCTGACAATATGGAAGAAATGGGTTCCTGGGCAATGTGGTGCTGATCCTATTTGCTGCTTCTCTGTAATTAGGGACACATCTTTCTGTGTGGAGATGAAACA